CCCCCATACACTCCCTCTTTTGCAACGGTTTTGTACTTTTGGAATGGATTAATCGTGTCGTTAACAATACCATGGCTTGCAAATGAACGTTTCCGAAATATTGCGGCCATACTTGTTGCTCGATGGATATGTGCTTCTCGTCAATGATGAAATCGGAACTTCCGGTACTCCGCCAAGGTGGCAGTCGCGAATAACTGTATACCCCATACAAATGATCTGGGAAATATTTGGTTCGAGAGTTTCGTACTTAGCAAATATTTTTTTCTCCTGCCGAGTGTTACAGCTCTTATACTAACGCTATTTTGTACGAATAAGTATAAATGTTTAATACCCTATTCGTAGTGTGATTGTTTTGCAGGGTATGCAATTGCAGACAGGAATTCACTGATTTGGATGTATTGTTTCCTCGGATCGGCCACCAAAGTAATTTTTAAATTGGGCACTTGGCACCGTATGGAGATTTTTATGTAAATGTATATCCTTTTGTTTTGTTGAGATGCCACAAGTCTGTTTTGTTTGTTTTTCAATTGTATTACGGTAATTTGAGAGCGATTTCCTGCTAGGTGTAGATGTAGAGGCATAGTAGAATATTAGCCGATAATGGTGAATGTGGCCGTAATAGCCTACGTGACCGAGAAGGAAAGGCGAGATGTGGCAACTCTTGCTAGATCCATCCGGGGTCTGAGGTGTTGCCAAACGGCGAGTTCGATTTATTTTTCTCTACTGTGGTCGTGGGTCATAAGCTATCTATTTTTAGAACCAGGTTTATTATTACTTCTGTTTTGGTATTGGATTATCCCCCTTACATAATAGAACCCCATATATTTAGTAGGGTAACTGGGATGGTTCCCGCATTACTTTGTGCATGTCAAAGTGTGTTTGTGCGTTGCGGAGCGTCAACGAGGCAAGGAACCACTAACTCGTGTATATATGGCCACCCCCACCGAGCCTGGCGCAGCTTTCAAAAGAATAGCCTATTTTGGGAGAAAACCATTACGATTTAGTTTAAATTGTATTCTTCAGCGGTCGTAGCAGAAGGACCCATCGGAAAGGAACGGAGGCGTGAAACCCCGAGCGAAAGTAGAGGAAGTCGGACTTCGTTTACGAGAAGAAAGGGAAACGCGAGACAAAAAGACCCGAGATAGACAATGGCCCAGCTTAAGGCCAGGCCTGAATGTGACATACAGACTCGCAACCAGCGCAAAATGCCAGGTATACCGAGTAGACAGCCGGTTGACAGACATTGACACCGTTTAAGGAAGACCACAAGTTTTCAGAAGACAGGGTAGACAGCTAGACAAATGAATACACTCGCAAGGCCTTGCATGAATCAGTCACACGCTCCTTCCAAGGCGGACTAGCATGGCAGGATACTTTGAGTGGAAGAAGTTAGGAAGACGGAGCACTGAGTCTCCTTTACTCCCGGGAAATCCGCTATGAGATGCTGATGGCATGATATGGAATATACAGTAGTTGCTGCCATTATTTGTGTGCATTTTAGGCATCAGTGCTATGGATTATCGGAATTCTGAAATGAGAACAAACAGAGGCAGGAAATACTTCATCGATGAAAATGATGTGGATGTGTAAAATTACGGTGATGCGAATGTTTATGATTATTACTGATTAAAAGGCATTGTTTATATTTCCCAATCAAGGAATGACTGTTGCGATGTCTAGTTGACATATTTGATTAACTTCGATCTCCCTCCCTCCCTCCCTCCCTCCCTCCCTCCCTCCCTCCTCTCATTCCCCGTCCTCTCATTCCCTCTCCCATCCCTTCCCTTCGTTTCGCTTACCTTCACTTCACTTGCCCCCTCCCCTCCCCTCTTCTTTCTTCTACCCTCCCTTTCCCTTTCCCTTTCCCTTCTTCCCTCTGCTTCCCACTTCCCTCCCTTTCTTCCTCTCCCCTCCCTCCCCCTCTCTTCGTCCGACTCCCCCTCTCCATTTCCCACTCTATTTTACTTCTATATCTGGTTTCTTTTTCTTTTTCACATTTTTTCTCATTTTTATCAATTCTCTCTCTCTCTCTCTCTCTCTCTCTCTCTCTCTCTCTCTCTCTCTCTCTCTCTCTCTCTCTCTCTCTCTCTCTCTCTCTCTCTCACCGTCTTCACTTTTCGTTGATCTTTTCATTCCTGCCTACTGCCTCCCTCCCCATCTCTCTCCTTTTGTGTGCTCCCTTCATCCTTCTGCTCAATCAGATTGACGTCTAATGGTGTTTTACAACATAAAGTTGTAATCAAAGTATTCTATATTTACTATCCATGACATTATCAACGCTTTTGAGAACAACTGCCTGTTGGGCCTCATTTTCGAAATGGTCGGAAGACGAGGGATCCAAAAGCAGACTGAGAGCGGCTAATACAGTCTGGGATGTAACTGAGTGACTTCGCGCTGACATGAGTTTCAAACCCTTTCCGAAAGTGGTTGCTCAACACGCTGCCACTTTAATCTGTCCCGCACCTACTTGCACTCATGCAGCTACACGCCCCTGCACTTAACGTCAGTATGTGAACGCACATTAAAAATGCATAGAAATAAACTTAAAATGTATACACAATGTTGTTTTCCCAGACTCCCTGTATCATTCGCGTATCCGTCATCGCTGCGTCCCCCGAACGTACCCTCAGGGATTGATTTATTTACCTTTTCCTGTCTCCCATGTGGCGAAAGTAGCAGGGAGGTGAAGACGAGGAAGGGAGCTGTACTGTAGCAGGAAGGTAGAGGCGAGGTGAAGCGAAGCGGCAGCTGCGGCTGGACTGTAACAGGTGGTGGTCGGTGTGGCCGTGTGGTAGCCCTGCTTGGCGATAGGCAGCTCTCTCGTCGACAGGCCTCCCATCTTCACTTCAAAATATTCTCAACCAACACTATATACGCGTCTTCTTGAACACTTCAGATACAAAAGACAAGGCATATGTAGGTGCAGTAAAATCGCACGAGTTGTATCCTCCAGAGTTCCGCGTTGAGTTCCGTCCGTCCAGAGTACACGTGGACGCCGCTCAGCAATACGTGCTATGTCCACGTGCACACTTTCGTACCGCGTATTGCTTCTGTTTCGCCATAGTTTACAGTGCGTACGCAGAGAAGTGCAGTATGTTTAGGTCATCATCTATATTAAATTTCAGAAAATGAGTGTCGTAGTTTGCAAGTGTTGGTATTATTAAATCATAAAAGACTTCCACTCGTGTCATTACAGGAAACACGTGCAGAGCAGAGTAGTCATCTTCACCAATCTTATTTTTAAGTATCAGTCTGCCTGAGTCCGAATGTGCGTAGATTCATTACAGTGATTATATAGATATATTAGAATATAAACTAAAATAATCAGACTTCATAATATACTCGAGTGGGTACAAATTGCCAGTACGTATAGAGCAATTAGCCAAATTGGTGGCTCTTACAGTCTACAACAGCCCGAGGTTAGATCGCCACGTCACTCGGAGCGGCGGAAAGTGACAGGCAGGTGATGCGGGGGACGGTTCCGTCTGGGGAACGGACTACTGTTTTTTATTATTATTACTATTATGATTAGTAGTAGTATTTTTATTGTTATTATTATTGCTGTTCTTGTTATTGTTAATGATAATGATATTGTTGTTGTTCTTATTATTGTTACTGTTCTTAACAGGCAAAAGTGACAATAATTCACAAAAAAATTGCATTTTTTTAAGTTCAAAGTGAAAAGGAGCGAGGGCGGCGTGATAGCGGGGAGTCCTTCTCAACGCCAGAGCTCTAGTAATGAAGACAACCAGCTGGTGGTCTCATAGGGAGCGTTGTTGTTAGGGAACTGAGAACTTGTCCGCCTGAACTATCGCTGTTATTTTATGTTAATATCACCGTAGGAAAACACAACTCTTGCAGTGTTGCTTGTAATGCTGAGCTTGTGTCGAGCTCAGGGTGAGGTATTGCTGTAAAATGTTTGTTTAGTGTTTTAACGACTGCAATCGCAGTTGTTTTGCCAGTCGGTAGAATCGAGAACAGTAACGCAGCGTCATCATGTGAGAGCGAAATTACGACGTCATCAAATCGAGTCCTTCCGATGGTCTTTCTGATATTTCACGATTCCATTAAGCGACTCGGTAAGGAACCATTTTGGGAGAGACAGGAGGGAAGCGTTCAAGATGAATCGAACGAGTAACTCCTGTGTAACATGCAACGCTGCACGTTCGAGCTCGCTCCCACAGCGGAAATTAATATGAGCTTGCGAACCTGTTGATATCTAGCGGGAAAGATTCATCTTGTTGTTTAGTGTCTGTATGCTGCTGCAAGTTACATAGGTTCGAGTTCACGAAGAGTGGTGTTGGGAGCGTGGCGGGAACCGTCGTATAACCGCGCTTCCGTTAATGATGCGAAAATTACGTTCGGGCCGTGTGTGTCGCACAATTACCCGCGGTGTAACGTAAGGTCTATTTAGACCTTGGTGTAACGGAGGTGAGAGGCGAGTGTTGTCCCGGACGGCGGTCGGCGGACGAAGGAGAGGCATCAGCACATCATGGAGGGGGGGGAGGCACTTTGCTTGTCTTAGAGGCGACACGTGCAAGCACCGCCTGTCACCCGAACCGACAACTGAACCTCAGCTCTGGAAAGATTATCAAGCGCAACAGGGCGGGTAATGTGTGAGCGCTGAAGGGCCGCCTTGACTGATGTCTCGGGAAGAGTTGCCAGCGGGTTTATTACTGTTTATGGATAAATGTGGAGGATAAACCTAATGAAGGTTGACGCCGGACACGATGGGTTTGGCCTCAGGTGTGGGAATTGGTAGGGTACGCTGTCAGAAGAAACGCTCACCAAGACTTGAGTTTATACTTCTTCTATACGCACTATGCATAGGAAACTTGTGAACTAATTTGTTTGTCTCGTGCTAATTGCAAACGAATGTGATTTCCGATGTTATCTATCATGTGAGGGCATTGCTTGTCAGTTGCTGCAGAAGCGGCATGAGAGTAATACAAAGCACATGGTTTTAAAGACCTCCACTAATCATTTTATTGTTGTTGCAG